AGCGACCGATTCTTTTGTTAAACAAAAAAAATAACCATCTTCCGGTAACCTTGATGCAACGTCAAAGACACAAAATTGAACGATAACAATGGAAGAGTATGATAATTAATCGAAGAAAATCAACATTACCTAGAAATGATTCTGAAATCGAAGAGGGAAATTAGAAACGAAATCTGGAACCTTAAACTCGAACAAAACTCTTGAAATTCGCGTTTTGTTTTTTTAGAAAAAGTTAGGACTTGGTTAATTTTCCAAAAACAGTTCCACCGATCGATTGGGATATCTGAGCAATTTTTTCTGCCACCACCAGTATATAAGAGATGAAACGCACTCGACACCCTACGTTTGTAAGCAAAATTCAGTGGCATGCTTATTTTCTAGGTTTTTTTTAACGTCAAGGACTATATATTGATTGTGACTGTAATTATCAGTAGTTTCATGTTGTAAATATTAAGATGTACGTATATACTTTGAATGTGACTTTATTATTTCGTGCAACAATAAACTTTTATCATTTTGTACAATTCTAAAACATTTTCTTAAAAAGATAAATTAAAATAAAGAGATACACGATCAGTAAGGGATTTGAGTTTTAAGTGAAATTTCCTATGACCCATATACTTTTTAGAGAAGAATTATTATAGATAATGTATATTTTTCCAATTTGTCCATATACACAACACATATTAACCAGTCATCTCCTCTAATTAGAATAGACATTATACTGTGTGCATTCACTGCTAATTGACCTTAAAACAATATGTATATAATGTAACCACTGTAACACAATCATTTGATTGAAACCCTAGATAGTTATTTTATACCTACCCATTACCTATTTATAATTTAAATGATTCTTGTTCACCATACATTTACTTCTCATGTTCTAGTTTCACCTCTATGTCGTTTTCACACTCAGTTTTTAGTCATGTTTTTCAAAAAAAAAATTTCCGTGTTTAGTTATTGTCAGTGTTCTAAAAAGCATTATAGGCGTTCGCCTAGGCGGTGCTAAACCCCTATAGACCGTGGCGATTACCGTTTTTGCCGCCTAAAATATTACGGTATTATAATAATATAAATTTTTGCATATATGAATCGTAAAAATGTTATATATTTGGCTATAAAATGATGAATATAAATATAATATAAATTTTGTTAGTTATAAATTATGGTTTTTTATATATTTTATCATATATATCTAATATATTATGTATTTTTGTAAAACGTTTAGACCGTCTATCAAATCGCCTAGGCTCCGATTAGGCGTCTAGGCACTAGGCATTGGGTTACCGCCCGCTTAACGTCTAACGCTTTCTTGAATATTGGTTATAGTACAGTATAGACGCGTGAAGAAAAATAACGTTTTGCATATATGGAATGAATCGCTAAATTAAACACAACATAACTTGGGATCAATATGCTAAACACAATACATCTGTTGTACTATAAAATACGATCATTGTGTATTCTKGCCACTTATATCCTTTACTTTTTTTCAACAAAAGAAAAAACTCAATCTCATTTTTTTC